GGGATCGAATCCACAGAGATTTGTGTGCCCGGTATTCTTCTACGGTTTTTAACTTTATGTCTAGACTAGATTGGTTTTTAAAGGCTGGTTGTTTGTCACAAATTAAACTAAAACAAAAGAAAGCAAATAAATCTATCCTAAAAAGCAAGTAAAGAAATCGAATGAAAGACAATAGAACAAGTAAAATATCGAATGAAAGACTAATAAGGCAAGTAAATATCGAATGAAAGACTAGTGAAGCAAGTAAATATCGAACTAAGGAAATTGAAATGCAGGTCTAAGTAAGCAAAAAAAATCGATGGAATTGTAAACTATGGCTAAAAACGCTGAGCTTTTAGGAACTCTAATGGATCATAATCGGTTTTAACACTAAGGTAGATAGATTGGGATTGACAGATAACGATATATGGGTTCTAGAGCTAGAGTATGGCGGTATGACTGCGTCACTGTCGTGATCATAACCAACTGTTTCTCGCAACCCTGACCAGTAGGTTTCCACTCTGGCCCTGGAAGGGAGATAACGCAAGAGCTGCACAAGACTCGTCAATACTCACAATCTCACCGCAGGTAGGTTTCCACTCCTACGGAAAAATCGCCTGTTTCATTCTAGGGCTGATACTTAATGAAAACTTTTGCAACACTAACTATCTAGATTAGATACTAGGTGATCAATCAAGCGTACCTGCAATAAGAACAAGAATAAACAGAGAACAGGTCGAAATCCCAGATCTATAAACCTAGATGTCTTAATCGATTATGAGAGCCCCTTTCGGGAACCCTAAACCCAACTCGGGATCTACTCAGACATGGCTGAGTTCGACATCATCATTGGTTTTAATAAAAGTAATGAAAAACAGTAAAGAAAATAGATAAAGAAAGCTTCTCTATTGAAGAACTCGGACTTGAACAATCTTCTACAATATCTCATAAAAACGGCTAAAGGAAAGGGTTTCTGTAAAGTATGAATGGTTCTCTCTAAAAACGACCTAAATGACATGTATTTATAGTCTTCAATACTCCATGGTCTCTAGGGTTCCGGAATTGAGGCTGAGAATGACTTTGGGCTTCAGATACATGGGCTTTAATTCAGAGCTTGATTGCCGCGGTCGGGAGTGTCGTGACCGCAGGGATTGGCTTGTTGGCCGCGGTCGGGAAGTTTCTGACCGCGGGAAATAGGTTGATCACCGCGGTCGCGTGACTTGCTGGCCGACTTCAAGTGGCTCCGGGGCTAATGGAATATCTTGAGATCCAACCGTTGGAATGTCTCCAAACCAAGTGCATTTGAAAGCTTGTTGATTCTTCTATAAGTTATCCAATTTTGAGGTTGATCAGACGGTGAGAAGGTCTTCGTCTCTCCATGAGAGTTCTGACGGTCTGCATTTATCCAAAAGAGTCTTTTTGTTCCATTTTGTGCCTCTTTATCCCAAATTACCTGAAAAGTCTTTTAAAATCCGGAAACATAGAAATCCTTTGAAAACCTTTGAAAATGGAGTAAAAACACCTGTAAAAGATATTAAAGTGATCCATAAAAATGGTCAAAATCCGGTGTTATCAGATGCCGAACTTGGCATCTTCTAATACCCAACTGAAGTCCTCAATATATTCGTCATCAGAAGATGGATCGCTGTAGCTAATGGGCATCCTGTATACATTAAAGAAAACAACTAAATAAGTCCAACAAAACTAGATACCATGGTTTACATCATAAGAAATACAGTACTATAGTCTATATCGCCGGTTTATGAAAACAGATTCAAAACACAGAAGCTAAAACGTTTCAAGGAAACTTATTGATCAATATAGCCGAGACAAACAGAAGCATTTGATGTAATCAGTTTTAAAATTTGAAAAGATAAAGACAAATACGCATTAACCATTCGAGCATCACGTTTACTAAACCTAATTACAACGAACCCATGTTTGAAAAAGAAAAGAGAGGAGATCGCATTAACGATGCTCGAATCACAAACGGAAGATGAAAACAAAAGAGAAGACAGTTCAGTCGATTAAACGTATTATTCAATCACAAAAACTAAAACATTGCATCGTAAACCCTCAATTTTAAAAAGAAAACAAACCCTAAAATTTTCCCCAAATCGATTAAACACTAAAAGCAAAGCGACATAGTGAATCAATTTCAAATAACCGAGAAAGAAGATCATATTCTTGCCGATTCAATCACCTAGACACTACTACTGAATCGATTAAACCCAAATTTCATTCCATTCGACGAACCCTAGATTTTCCCCCAAATTGATTCAAACCCTAAATTCGATTTAAAGAACGAAAAAACCCACCAAATCTGATTGCTACGAGGTCGGAAATCTTACCTTGCTCGTCGCGCCGTGCCGATGAAACAGCTTCGTCGTCTCAGCGGTCAAATTCGCCGGTGAAACGATTCGTCGGTGACATAAAGAGACCAAGGGGAAACACAACTTCTCTCTCGAAAACAAAGTGGCATGGGCAAAAAAAGAATGAAAAAATTAAAACACTTTCCTCCAAATTCCAGCTACTCACCATCCGCCACGTCACCAACGATACTCGCTTGAGACAGGCTCGTCGGTCTCATCTAAAAGAGACGGTCCGTCCAGATTATTCGGCCCAAAGTTTTTTTTTAATTGCAAAATAGCCTTTCGGGCCCACCGACGTACCGCAGATACCGCGTTGGAGATGGTCTAACAGTATATAACTAGCGTAGGATATGCTCGTGAAAGATGCGTACTATGATGAGATTTTATACCTAAAAACTAATACACTAATGCTGACTACTACAAACATTTTACAAGCTATAACACAAAAATCTTAATACAAAACACATAAACAAAAAGTTTAGCAAAAGCAAAACATGTATCTTACTTGGGAACATGTGGAGACTTTCCACGATTTGCCTCGACCAACACGACACAAGCACTTCTCCTCCACTAGTTCAAGATAGGTTACTGGAGAACTGCTCTAAGTTGTCGGTTACTTGATTCACTGTAGAGATCCTTTCTTGTTGCCCAAATCACCAGCTTTGCCAGAAACCAACTAACGCCCCTACCATTGGATGTTGGTTTGAAGGATTTGTCTCCAATAGCAAGGTGGCTGAAAAACAGATAGTACAAATCAGTGGTTCTTGAAGTTTAGTCATTGATGAACATATAGCTCAAGAATCGATTAGTTCCGAATAGATTCGGACAAATTACCGTAAAATAAGAGAGATGTCTTTGGAAAAGAAATGGCTCAACTTCAAAGAAAGAAAGACATATGCCTAGCTGCGAGGCGAATGAGGCACAGGTCTTAGGCTACACATTACATAGAATTTATAAATTCCAAAATAAAAGTTTGAAATTTATGAAGTAATTTGCAATATTTTGAATTAATGTAGCTAGGTATATACTCCCTCTGTTTCAAAATATAAATTATTTTGGGATTGATTTTATATCTCAAAATATAAGTCGTTTTCGATTTTCAATACAAATGTTTTTTTTTTTAATTCCACTTTTATTCATACTCTTACAGCTAATTAATTAAGCATGAACATAATATATATAATACATTAATAAATGGTATAATGGAAAATTAAACTTTTTTTAATATGTGTGAAAAAACTTTAAACAACTTATATTTTAAAATAGAGGGAGTATAATTGGTTTCCATTGAACTTTTTTTTTGTTTAGTAGAGATAGCAAAACCATGTGAATGATGTCTAAAGATCCCCAAAATCACAAATGAAGACACCAGATGAGCAAATGAAGTCCGCCCTTTGTTTGTTTGTCCCGCAGCCACCAACCCTTTGCTTCATGCCATTTTTGTCAAAAACTTGTGTATCAACATATTTACATATCAACATATGATACTGTAATCAATGCAAGTTTGTAGAATTATAAGCATTGAAGTTGAAAGATCCTTTAATTTTTCTATGAATTTGGTGCTCATAAATCACTTCAAGATAGATTCAAAGTTTTGTCCAACTATTATAGATAGAGCATTAGTTTTTGAGATGTAAATCTTTTCATATGAAGCTGCGAAGAGTGAGTCGTTGGATTTGCATGATTCTACAAGGCGATTAAAAGCATATTAACTCCAGTTTGGGTACTCCAAACTCATCTACAAAAACCAAAAACAAAGCGAAGATATGACACCAAAAGTCTAAACCTGGATATACACAAAAGAAGAGGAGAAAAAACACATGCCAAGTCTATATTTGTTTGTACGAGTGAGAATTAGAGATGTACAATCCCTTATCTTTTGCTAATCTTATGATCTGCGGAAGATCCATAAACAAATTCCTTAGCCAAATACAATTTTGATTTGATTGATTCGGGCCATTATCCGGTCTGATATAATTCCACCGTTTATCAGTGTCTGATACTTTGGTGAGTAAATATGTTTTATAGTCCATACTAAACCTGGTTCACACTCAATTCACAAGGTTCAATCCATCCACAGTTTTAAGAAATTTGGAGTTAATAGGAGAGGAAAATAAACTATTAAAACAGAGTAGAGCTTGCTGACTAGCTCCATGTACTACACAGCAACTTTAGGTTGCCTCTAGAAATTTGGTATTTTTGTTTCTTAAATAGATGTTTCTATATAGAGAAAGGAGCATAAACAGTTGACCAATTTAGTAATGTTTTTAAAACCGGACCGCTGACCGAACCGGGAGAACTTTTGGGTTCATGGGTTAATATGGTTAGACTAGGTTCAACCGGGTTTGATAAATTTTTTTCAAATAATTGTATATGGATTTAGAAAAAAAAAACAAAAAAGTAAAAAAGTATTGATTTAAGTTTTTTAGTTGAATTCGGTTTGATACGGTTCTATCGGTTTACCTAATATCCAATTTTAGACGGTTCAATCCGGTTTTCAACTCAACCCGGCTACACTTCTGGTTTGTGGTCCAATCTGGTCTGACCGCCGGTCCGGTCCGGGTTTAAAAACACTGAATTTACGATAACTTTTATCCTGAAATAATAAATAATAATCTTAGTGTACTTAATAGTTGCCGAAAAGAAAAGAAAAAACACGACAAAAAAAAGAAAAGAAAAACCAATAAACGCAAAAGGATAAACTTTTATCAGCCAGAATAATCCGCACATCCGTCGTCTTCCTCGCCGGTCATGCTCGATAACAATCAAAACCCAAACTTTTCCAGAGACACCATCTCTGAATCGCGTCCACGAAGCTCAAAAGAATCTCTCCGATGAGTTTACTCTGTAATTCGCTAGAAACCCTATATCAAAAACCCTTCTTTCCCCAGAAATCTCACTTCTTTTCATTCTCCGATGCAAAATCCCCAATCCCTAAATTTGCCGCCTTTCCGCGTCGTCGTCAATATCCGATCAAATCATGCCTCAAATCAGCTTCGTCGTCGGAAATCGATATGGTAAAGAACAAAGAAGGCGTGTTCGCTCCAAAGGAGAAGAAAGTAGTCGTCTTATGGGACCTCGACAACAAACCACCACGCGGTCCACCGTACGAGGCAGCGACGGCTCTCCGACAAGTCGCGGAGAAACTCGGCCGAGTCGTCGAGATCTCCGCATACGCGAATCGCCACGCTTTCATCCACTTGCCTCACTGGGTCGTCGAGGAGCGTCGCTCGAGGAGGAACCTCGATTTCGCCGAGAGGAAAGGAGAAGTGATTCCGATCGATCCTTACATCTGCGGCGTGTGTGGCCGGAAATGCAAAACGAATCTCGATTTGAAGAAGCATTTCAAGCAGCTTCACGAGAGGGAGAGGCAGAAGAAAGTGAATCGGATGAGATCTCTGAAAGGGAAGAAACGGAAAAAGTTTAAGGAGCGTTACGTTTCCGGGAACGAGAAGTATAACGAGGCGGCGAGGAGGCTGCTCACGCCGAAAGTTGGGTACGGGCTTGAGGCGGAGCTCCGGCGAGCTGGTGTTTATGTGAAGACGGTGGAGGATAAGCCACAGGCGGCGGATTGGGCTGTGAAGAGACAGATACAACATTCGATGACACGTGGGATTGATTGGTTGGTTTTGGTATCGGATGATAAGGATTTTGCTGATATGTTGAGGAAAGCAAGAGAGGCTGATCTTGGGACTGTGGTGGTTAGTGATTGGGATAGAGCGTTGGGGAGACATGCTGATTTGTGGGTTCCTTGGAGTGGAGTGGAGAATGGGGAGATTGGTGAAGCGGATTTGGTTCCGGGGAAGAGACGGCGGTTTGATGAGGAGGAGGAGGGTGGATTTGGCGGCGGAGATGGGTTGTTTTCGTTGTCTTATGATGAGGATGAGACGGCGGAGATGACGGTGGAGAGTGATGGGTTTGGGAGGTTTAATGTGTCTGCGTTTGCGGAAGATGAGTGGGTGGAGGATGATGAAGACTTTGCGTTGAGTGATAGTGATGATGATAGTGACGATGAGCTCTGCTTTTGATTCTTTGGTGATGATTGATTAAGTTACATTTTCTTAATGTTTATCGGTTTAGGAACTAAACCGGAAAATGAGAGCTCTCTGGTTGATACATAATTGGTTGAAGCACAATATTCTGAAATCAAGAGTTTAGACTTATATTGTTGAATGAGTTGATCTCTGAAAACTTCCCAATTTGGTTACGCTGGTGGTTGTAAGTTAATTGAATCTAGGAATTGTTTTGTATATAGCTACAAAACTGAGGTGCTCTCACAAGTGCTAACTCACATCCATGGGTAGGATAAAAAAATTGTCATAATCGGATCAAAGAAACAGAGCTTACTCTTCTTGAATTTGATGCAAATGCTTCAGCAATCTTTACTTGTAAATAGAGTCTATTGGAATTCCAAATTCTTTAATCTTCATATGAGTATAAGTTGTATAACTAATAAGACAAAACTGAGAATTGTTACTTGACTGACAACTTTTTGGCGAAAGACAGTATCATAATTACTTTGACGCTAACAATGCCAACCAATCAGATCCATTGTAAGAAAATAAACAACCAATCAGAGCCGTTGTAAGAAAATAACAAAAATCTGCGCTTTACTTTTGCGAAGTTAACTGAAGTCACAGAAGAAGAGAGTAACTTTTTTACCCAAACAAACCAAGCCAACCCGGCTTTTTTAGTTAAATTATTAAAGTAATAATTTTGAATGAACTTCGTTTGATGGAGAAAGCCATCATAATTATGTATACATTTTTTTTGCTTATTATCTTTTTACCTAAACCAAACAAACCTTAGCCCTATTATTTTGGACATGTTCATTACATAAAACCTATAAAAAAATCCAAACCGAACTATACTGAAACTTCCAATGTCAAGTCATTATCAAAAACGGTTAGTTTAAACATTTGAGTTAACATAGAGAAAAGAAACTCAGCGAAATCCAGACACGTATGCAAAATCTTGCTAATAAAAAATGCATAATAGTTGAAGTTGACTGTAGTTTCTAGTTTTCAGTAAACAACAAATAGGAGAGAAAAAAAAAATATCCAAAAAAGGTGCCGGAAAAAAAAATATCCAAAATAAACAATAAGGGACCAACATGAAAAAAGCGCGTGGGTCAGACCGTGGCTGGACAGCGAACGCACCATCGCCTCTTAACGTGGCGCGCCTCCCGAACCATAGAGAAAGCAGTTTCGGTCCAACTATCCTAACCGTGTCCTACTGACGTCATCCTCTACCTTTCTTTTTTTTTTTTTAAACTAAAGCGTCTCTTGTCCTTTTCCCTTATTCGTCCCCGTTCCTCGAACATACCAAAACCAATTTAATAATCCAAAAACAGTAAGTCATTTAAAAACTGAATCATCAAATACTTGAAAGGCAGCACACACTTAGACAGTACACATATACTCAAGACTAAGTTAAAGAAAAGGACACGTGTCAGTCACAAACCGTGGGACAGTTGTCGTTACCAGATACACCGTGTTCCCTCTTTGATTTTTTTTCTCACACCTTATAAAAACAACAAACTTGTTCTCTTTTACTTCTATAATTAATTCCAAAAAGTTTCCACATCTGAACAAACAGAAAAGAAAGAAAGAAAGAGAAATTAAACACTCTTATCCAATAAAATCAAGACTCTGTTTTTTTACGATGAATCCATTTTACACAGCTTTCTCAGACTCGTTCCTCTCGATTCCCGACCACAGATCTCCGGTTTCCGACGGTGGTAGCAGCGAGTGTTCGCCGAAGCTAGCTTCGAGCTGTCCGAAGAAAAGAGCAGGGAGGAAGAAGTTTCGAGAGACACGTCACCCGATTTACAGAGGAGTTCGTCAGAGAAACTCAGGGAAATGGGTTTGTGAAGTGAGAGAGCCGAACAAGAAATCGAGGATTTGGTTAGGAACTTTTCCGACGGTGGAAATGGCGGCTCGTGCTCACGACGTCGCTGCTTTAGCCCTCCGTGGCCGCTCCGCTTGTCTTAATTTTGCCGATTCGGCGTCGCGGCTTCGGATTCCGGATTCTACTTGTCCTAAAGAAATTCAAAAAGCGGCTGCTGAGGCTGCAATGGCGTTTCAGAACAACGAGACGGCTACGACGATGGAAACGACGGAGGGAGTGAAAACGACGGCGGAGACGACGGTGGGTGAGACGGCGGAAGAAAGGGATGTGATTTATATTGACGAAGAGACGGTTTTTGGGATGCCGAGGTTTTTGGAGAATATGGCGGAGGGGATGCTTTTGCCTCCGCCGGAAGTTGGATGGAATCAAAACGACTTGGAGGGAGATGATGACGTGTCACTTTGGAATTTTTGAGTGGATGATTTTACTTTCATTTTTCCGGGTAATTTTTAAAGAATATTTGGATTTCTAGGATTGGTCCCAAGTTCCTTGCCTAATTTTTTTATTGGTAGTACGGTACGGAACGAGAATGGGAACCAAAGAGAAAACTAGTCTAATAAATCGTATTAATATCTCTTTTCTCGGTTTTTCTTTGTAAATTGTAACCAAATTTTGATCAAATTAGAGTATCAAATAATATAATTTTGTGTTACTGAAACTGTGAATAGATTTTGGTTGGTTTCTATGTATAATATATCAAGTTTTACGAAACATATACATAGCCCTAAAAGCTTGAAACTGTGCCTCTGATTCTCCAAAACCTGCACTCGTTACATATGCTTTTAGTTTCCCCGGCTACCAATTCTTCAGTTTTGTTTTCTCGTTGAGATGATGAATTTTATTTTCGTCTGTATTAACAAAAACATTGAATGATTGGTTTCGTTTAGATTGGACCGGGATGTGTTAATACACGCCGATTATATCAAGTAAAAATACATGTCTTAATGTTTTGTGGTTAATTGTTGTTTGTGACAGAGTTAATGACTTAATGGGATTTGCTTACTTTTGTCTCTACAATGCCAGCAAGAGTGAGCTTTATGCTATTAACCAAATCTAATTATACTGTTCATTCTTTTTTCCACTAAGCACACTTAGATTTTTTTCAGTAGAAAACTTGTTTCCTCACTAATTTTCTTCTTCAAATGTTCTTTAAATCAAGAAGTTTGGGTCTCTTGGGTCGCTAATTTTAAAGCAATTCATTGAGTGGATGCAAAACCTTTCACAAAAGTCTATTTTTTCAGTTTGTTAGTTGATTTTCCACCCAAAAGCTTAATCAGCTTAACCGGTTTTGGTTGTTTGTAAAGTTTTTGTATTAATCCAATAGATTACATAATTCATCCTAAGTAGAATTAGCCTACAAAATGCTTTTTTGGACAATAAAACACACTCCCAAGTCCAATCCTTTCTAGTTTCTACTTCAAATTTAAGGTGCGGACAGGGATTGGACAATAACCGGATTTAACCGAAAGCCAGACAAAAACATACAAGACCGAGAGAACATTTAAAGCAATTCTGTAAAATATAAAACATCTGAGGGGTAAAGTAGTAACTACACAGTTGGTGTCAAGCTGACGCGACTGTTTCTCTCTCTCTCGCTCTCTTTCTCTCTCTCTCGCTCTCTTTCTCTCTCTCTCGCTGCTACTAGTTCTGTCCTCTCCACGAAGATCCGAAGCTTATAAACACAAATCCGCTTCAAACTCTTATTTTTATCTTCCTCTTTTCAGTTTTCTCTCCATAATTATTACTTCTCTTTCACAACAATCCCAAATTTTGCTTATTAAGAAAAACCTACTCGTGAGAGATTTGTTGGGTAGTTTTCTAGGGTTTCCTCCAATTTTGCCGCTTGATTTTGATTCACGATCGGGTTTTGAACAAACTCGGATCCTTTTCAAGAAAATATTTATTGCAAATCGAGAGAAAGAGTGAGAGTGTGAGGCAATTAGAAAAAAGCCATGGATTTCGATTTGAACGGAGGAAACAAGCGAGTCTTCAATCGACTCGGCGGCGGCGGCGGGTCGACTCGTCCGGCGCCACCAACTGACTCAAGGCAGAAGGTTTGTTTCCACTGGCGAGCGGGACGGTGCAATCGGAACCCTTGCCCTTATCTACACCGAGAATTACCGGGTCCGGTTCCGAGTCAGGGTCCAGGCGGGTATACGAACAAAAGGGTCGCTGAGGAATCCGGTTTTGCCGGTCCGAGTCACCGGAGAGGACCTGGGTTTAACGGGAGCTCTAGTAATAGCTGGGGGAGATTTGGTGGGAACAGGACGGTGACGAAGACGGAGAAAGTTTGCAACTTTTGGGTCGATGGGAACTGTACTTACGGCGATAAGTGTAGGTACTTGCATTGTTGGAGCAAAGGAGATGGTTTCTCGTTGTTGACTCAGCTTGATGGGCATGAGAAGCTCGTGAGTGGGATTGCTTTGCCTTCTGGATCTGATAAGCTTTACACTGGGAGTAAAGACGAGACGATGCGTGTCTGGGATTGTGCTTCTGGACAGGTATTGATTCGATTCTGTTTTTTTTTTCAATGGAGCTTTTTTGTTTGTTTTATAGTATTTCTCTCAATGCTATTGAATCTTTGATAGAATTGTTAGGTTGTGATGTAAAGTAGCTTAAGAGAAGGGAATTTCTCAAATTTGTTCATTAGGAAAGAAACGTCTGATTTTTCTCGTTCCTCATCGAATTCTTTTGAGCCAATGGGTGTTCTTGTTGTCCTCTTTAGATAGAAAACTATGTTTGTAACTATTGAATGGCAGTTCTGGTTCTCAGAAGCGTGTTTGTCTCTGAGGAATGCATTTCTGTTCTTGTGAGTGACTGTAGTTTACTTATCGTAAATACTGTTTGTATCGCCTTCGATTAATGTACAGAAGTGTTTAGTCAAAATTTGTACATTAGGAAAAAAGTTTCTGGTTGTTTCGATCCTGATCAAGTTCTTTGAACCAATGGATCAACTCTCTCTTGTCAAAAGCATGTTTGTATGTGAGAATGGTTTGCTGATCTTGTGAGAGACTATTTTAAGTTTACTTATCGTGGATGCTGTTTTTTTTTGTTCTTCTCTTTCGACTAGTGTACGAGCGTACTCAATCTTGGTGGGGAGGTTGGCTGTGTGATTAGTGAAGGCCCTTGGCTATTGGTTGGCATGCCAAATCTTGTTAAGGCAAGTTATGAGTATGGTTTCTCTTATCATTACTATTCCTTGACTGTCACAATAGATATTGAGGAACCGCTTATTGTTGTTATTGATACAGGCGTGGAATATCGAAACCAATGTCGACCAGAGTCTCACTGGACCTGTCGGCCAAGTGTATTCTCTTGTTGTGGGTACAGATCTACTATTCGCTGGCACACAGGTAAAACTCCAAGTTTTTCTTGCTGAGATCACTGCGCTGAAGCATCTGTGCTAAGAGCTATCTATATATCGGCTTTTCGTTAAATAAGTCATATGTTCTTTACTTTCTGTGCAGGATGGCTCTATATTGGCATGGAGATATAATGCTGCCACTAACTGCTTTGAACCGGCAGCGTCACTGAATGGCCACACTCTTGCAGTTGTTACCTTATATGTGGGGGCAAACCGACTTTATTCGGGCTCCATGGATAAAACTATAAAAGTAAGTACTAGTAATCTTCGAGCAAACCGACTTTATTTAGGTACCTTATCATGGTTTAGTTAACTGTTTTGTGGTTTATATGTTTGTAGGTTTGGAGCCTGGATAATCTTCAGTGTATACAAACGCTTACGGATCATACATCAGTTGTGATGTCTCTCATTTGCTGGGATCAGTTTCTTTTGTCTTGCTCATTGGACAACACAGTCAAGGTTAGGTGCATCGTTAACTCAATTATCTTGTGGAAACTTCAATTTTCCCCTGTTGACACTTTTTTTCTCCCTCGGTCTCTAGATATGGGCTGCAACTGAAGGTGGCAACTTAGAAGTGACTTACACTCACAAAGAAGAACATGTATAGTTTCTTTTCCTCTCTTCACAAAGAAGGACATGTAATGTAATGTAACTAACAAGTTCTTGAAATGTCTAAATTTGGTTTCAGGGAGTGCTAGCTCTTTGTGGTGTACATGATGCAGAAGCCAAACCGGTTTTGTTATGCTCTTGCAATGATAATTCCTTGCGTCTCTACGACTTGCCATCGTAAGTTTTTACAACCGTTATTTATTTTTCCGAATCTACAATTCTGCCTTCCTTTTTTCTGAAAGCTTAGGTTCATTGATTAGATTTACGGAGAGGGGAAAAATCTTTGCAAAGCAAGAGATACGGTCAGTCCAGATAGGTCCAGGGGGAATATTTTTCACCGGTGATGGAACCGGTCAAGTAAAAGTATGGAAATGGTCCACTGCTCCAACCGTGCCAACGTCTTGAGAATGTTCGAAATCTTGTCAAGAGTTTCTTTCCTACGATCTTCTTGTACCATTATATATGGGTCTACTGAGTTTTTTTCTCTTTCTTATTGGTCCCTCCTAGTAAAGGCCATGGTCTGGTGAGATTGGGCAAAGTGGCCAAGATTGTGCCATGTTAGTAGTTTTGAGACAGGATTGGGAGAATTTTGGTCCCTGTTTTGTCCAATTTCAGCACTCTCTCTGTCTTGTAATGCTTGGATTGGAATTGTATGATCAGGGGTTGTCAGAATAAAGGATTTATCTATTCAAGAAGAATTCAGAATCTCATAGTTGTTGTACAGTAACAAAGTTACAGAATCATTCTTATTACAGAAACATTGTGTTCTTAGAAAAGCAAAGTATTTTTTCACAGATTGAACATAACTTTGATAGCATTACTCCCACGAGCACTGGTTTCAAAGGCATCTTCCACTTCCTTCTGAGAGAAACCGAATCTGTGAGTTATGAGTGGCTTTACATCAATCTTACCACTTGTAAGGAACTCAAGACACAAAGGCCATGTGTTCTTGTACCTGAACACACCTACCACATCTACCTCCCTGTCTCAAAACCAAAACACAAGTTGTTTCAGGTTTATATGATTGTTTTCAAAGTTTGGAAGTTTCTTTCTTTGATGGTCAAAAGAAGTTACCTTGCAGCTGCAGGAGTAAGAGGGACAGTCATTACACCGTGTCCCATTCCGACAAGGCAGACTTTACCACCACATCGAGTCGCTGCTAATGCAGTCGACATGGTTTTGTTAAAACCAGCACAATCGAATGTCACATCGATGTTTGACCCCATAGCTTTCTGAATTTGTTCAACCTCAAAACCAACATCCTGCAAAAGTAAAAAGGAACAAGTTCTTATCTTAAACAATCAGATGATCATCTATGTTTCAGAAAGATTTGGGAAGTGAAAAGTGTAAGAACCTCTAAGCTTGTCGTCACTCTAACAGTCCCATGTGCCCCGAGCTGTTTAGCTACGGTTAAACGGTTATCATCAACATCCACAATAACAATTCTAGGCACACCGAAAGCTCGAGCAGCCAACATAGTGACAAGACCAATAGGTCCGGCTCCCATTACCAATATATTTGTTTCAGGTCCAACCTCAGCTCGACGACAAGCATGTACACCAACACTTAGTGGCTCACACATTGCTCCTTCCTCCAAACTCACATTCTCAGGCAATTTGAAACACAGATCCGCAGGGTGAACCACTTGGTTGGCTAGAGAGCCATGAACCGGTGGGGTTGCAAAGAACTTCATCTCTGGACAAAGATTGTACCTTCCTTCCTTGCAGAGATTGCATCTCCAGCAACTAATACCAGGTTCCAGAGCCACACGGTCACCGACCTCTAGATGCTTCACTTCTTCACCTACCTCTTCAATGATCCCAGCACATTCATGTCCAATCACCATTGGTTCTTTCACAATGAAATCTGCACATCTCATGGTCTTGTTTTGTACCATTTTACACCATCAGAATCGAGCATATGTAAAAATCAAGGAAAAAGAAAGAACACTAGATTCTCTCTGAATATGCAAGTACCTTGAGGTAATGAACATCACTGCCGCAAATACCAACAGCTTTCATCCTAACTCTCACATCATGAGGACCTTTTTTACCAACATAAATTGAAACAAAGGGGTCACAAGAAAATCCAATCAAAACCCATGAGAAGGCGATGAAAATGAAATTTGGCTTACCAACGGAAGGAAGAAGAAAAGGTTGGATCTTGAGAGTGTTGATACCAACCAACCAAGCAGCCATGTTCTCTTCTTCAATCTTTGACCCTTCTCCGAGAGACATTCCTCCTTTCCCCATAACTCTTCTTTGCTATGCTCAGCTCTAAGCCTCTTTTGATCTCAGCTATTAGATTAAGGGAAAGAGAAACCAAACCCACCAGAGCATTAAGAATATATGATTAAGAAAACAAAAGTGTCAGCATCGAAGTCTCCACTAAATAAATAAAAATAAATACAGAAAAAATACAATAACCAGATAAACTCAAGCGGTGGATAGCTGGATAGCTTTTTCGAGATTTGGATAAAACCCATATTGTTGTTTGTTAGTCTTTATCTACTTTCTTATCATAATCTTGTTTACCATGATTAACAACGTAACTCAAATATAGATAGACCGAGAACAAGTTTCTCCATTTAGCTTTCGGTTTTCAAGACTTGAGAGATTTCTTATTCTTTGGATAACATTAACTATATCAGATAGAATGCTGATAAAGGTCAGAGGCTATTTCAAGACCTAGCAGACAAAATCCTGAGGAAAACAGAACTATTATCTGAGGCTTCTTTATATTACAATTTGCCATCACTTCTCACTTTGGTGGCTTCGTACAACATGAATATGTTTCAAAACAAATGCGGTAACAACGCAACGAAAAATTGTAATCCATCCATCTCAGATCTATCAATGCAAGAGCACTCTGGCTCCAAAGAAGATCACACTTATTCCAATTTTACCCAAGATCTGTCCATAGAAATGACGAAACCAGAGTGGCTTGTCTCCCGGAAAGACAAAGAGGAATGTGTATGCTCTGCATGATCAAGGCTGGTAAACCTCGGGAAGACGAAGCCCTACACTAGCTGCAGATTTCCCAAGCACTCGTTTCATTTCTGCTGATCTATCAACTGCAATGTTGTATGAGAAGAGCAGATCCTGCAATAACCAATTTGCCTATCCATGAGACTCTAAACACAAGAAATAACAACAACCAAGTCTCTGTATATGTACATAAAACAAGCCTGTCTTTCTTGTGACCGGTTTTATACTTCTTAAATCATGTTCACCCAGAGAAAGGTTGCAAATTTAGATATCATCAAGGAGCAAAACTGATGTGCAAACATAGTCATGCTTCAAAAGAAAAATGCCAATGTCATTAAGAATCATAAAAGGCTTTACCTTGTGAGAGTGAATGCTATTAAGAAGATATGTGTAATTGCGTGCGAGGTTAATTTTCTCTCGGTCATGTGCGTTCTTCCGAAACTCCTGCTTAACAAAGTCTGTGAAATGAGCCTTGTGGTCTTCCTTTCCAACATGTTTCACCACAGCTTTAAGAAGGTCACGGTAAACTCTAGCAGCTAAGACAACTTCACCACTCATCTTCTTTACCCTATTAAACATTCCAAAGATAAAAAATTCAGCTCCAGATTGAGTTTTAAATTCCAAGTTAGAGATTTATTAGTATCATAGCTGAATGTGATCGATCACAAAACTCCCAATCAACCAAATTGCAGAATCGTTATTCGTTTAAGCTAAACACGAATTGGAACTTCTCAGAGCATAGACACGAACACAATAGACATTTCATGAACTCAATTGATAACTTAAACAGAAAAACAGAGCTCCCACATATTCCAGATTTGGGGATGAAGAAGACTAACTTTGCAATAACTTTCTAAGCTCAATGAAAATTTGATTAATCCGAAAATCAGCCATTTCGATCATCGTATTCACGAGCAACCCAATATATCGATATAAAAAATGCAAACTTGTGAACCCTTAGTGATCAATTAGATTAGAAAACGGAAAGTCCATGAAAAGAACAGACTTGACTAGACCCAAACTTCTAACTTATGCAAGTTAGTGAATGAAATGGAAACCTCGTAGCCGAAAATATAATTAGATCGAATAACAATCATGAGGTCGGAGAAAGCTTACTATCAGGTCGAGATCAACGTGTCTGGTTCTGTGTTTGCGAGAGGTCGAAGACGGAAGATTGAGTATGAGTTAATTAACCTAAATCTTTAACCGGTCTAAACCGAATTTGATAATTTCCTTACATTTGCCGTTTAATTGGTTCGTTCTGTGTGGGTGGATTGTAATAGGACCGTCAGGGAGCATAAATTTTCACAATTGGGCCTGGCCCATTAAATCTAATAAATATTTAAATATTCAGACCAGATAAATAATCGATCTAAAATGTAGTCCGTTAAATCACTCACGGATCAACTAAGTGTTATCTTGAACATGTGATCTAAACGAGTTTTGAGCTCCGAAATATCCAATCAAAGTCAAAGATAGTCTAATAATAGTTCAGAACCGTTACAAAAATCTCAGAAACGGTGTAATACGAAATGGTCCGAGATACACAGCGGCATTTCAGATTTTGAAAAGAATTATAAAGAAAACTCGAGACACATGAAGAAAAAAAACTTTTCCTCTGGAAAAAACCCTAGCTAGAATTACAATTATCAATTTGTACTATATCTTTTCGAGAAATCATGTATTCATCTCTGATTAATTCAATACAAATCCAATTTTTTAATACATTTCTATACTCATCGATTTAAAGATAAGTATGGCCCATCGTTATAAATCCTTTGCCTAAAACTAAACCACAGTCATAAATTAACTGGGGCAAAAATAAGTTCAGTATTTAAAAAAAAAACATTTTACACTTGTATTATAATTTAGAAGTACTTAGTTACAATCGTTTTGTATTTTTTGTGGTTGTTTTTGAATTTAGAAGTACTTAGTTACAGCCCCCTAAAACCACATCATGTAATATTATTACTTAATAAAATGTATAATTGCTTTCATAATTCATAAATCATAACAGATAATAATTTAGATGACAAAAAAAGAAGGAATTCAATTCTAAAATCTTGCCAAAAATGTCTAACCATGAAATTTAAAGCTCGACAACAGAAGATAAGTAGGGTTATAAAAATGAGTGTTGCTCCTAGCTCCTCGGCCTTTACAACATAAGTAGGGCTCATGAATCTAGATCGCGTACATGTCAATTCCTATAAAACTATTACCTGATATGTTCCATCATAATCGTAAACCTTCCTCTCATTAGATAGTCAATTAATCATGACAAATGTACATCTTCCACCAAATGAATAGACTTACAGTAGCGAATTAATTAATAACTAGTTGATTAAGTGTAAACAAATTTATGGGCAGACCACAGTTAGAGCTACCCTCTTTCTATTTGTGACGGTGTTATAATTTCAATAATCAGATGTAACAAAATTAGCAAGTGCCTTTTGCATAACTCATTAACTTCTGTTTCTCTACTAACAAAAGACACTAATTAATTGCCAACTGTTCTTTCTAGATGATAATAATATATAGTAGTAGAAGATTGGGGGTGGATATCACATTTCTAATCATTTCAAAGGAATATTTATTATTTTGTAACACACGAATATATTTTATTAAAACAGAAGCACTTTTAGTGTATGTTTCCAAACGCACCTAAATTTTTTTTCAATATTTTATTTTATATTATATTAAATTTCAAAAATTGGTTATTATTTATATATTGTTATATTTCCTTAAATATATGTTATATTTAATTTAAATATAGGTTATATTTAATTTAAATATCAAATTATTCAAATTTTTTTAATTCATTTTAATTACAAAAATTAAGATTCAATTTAATTTAAAATTTTAAAAATTATAAATCAATTTATTACGAAAATTTAGATAATAATTTTAGTTACTTGAGAATTCTTTGAACACATGTTAGATTTAATTTAAAATTTTTAATTTAAATAAAATTTTTATAATAACACAAATGGTAAATGAATATTTTATTGTATTTTATCATAATCAATCGGTTTAAAGTATAAAATATTCAATATTGATGAATATTTATATTATACAAATAATATGATGGAGAAAGTTAGAGTTATGCATTTATAATTACAGTCTTATTCAGATTAGTTTTTCAAAACATGTAAAATATTAAAAATAATTTAAGATAATTAAACGGACCGTTTAGCCAATTCATAGATATGTAGATTGTTTATGTGTAAATCTAAATTTATATAATAACAAAGTTCATAATTAACATTAGACCAATATATAATTAATTAACTCATATACTTATTCTACTAATATAGAAATTTATACTATTTAAAGTTAAAATATGACGATAAAATTCTTGATTTAAAAAGAAATAAATAATAAAATGAAATTCTATTAAAAAAATTATATTAGAAATAAAAATGAAAAATTCTAGTGTCGGTGCTAGAATCTAGTTTACTATTAAAACTTTGATGGTTACTGACTGTAGTATTACAAAGTCTAAATGATGTATCAGACAAAAAAAACACGCTAGTAATAGAACAACTGAATTAGAAAACGTAATAACTATCAAAGTTCTCGAACGTCTATTGCTCTAAATTAAATGCAAAAGCTGTTATACATCTATTTATGCATCTCGATATTATAACTAGGTAGTTGCGAGAAGATCTTTGCATGTAAATTATTAAAAATAAACAAAAATTACAATTGTTGTGTAACTACTTTGTTCTAATATTATAAATGAACTACTTATAACTTTGACATGTAGATTAAAATTACTAGTCAATCACCATTTCATTTGTTGTGACTATTAGTTTAGCTGTATTACGATTGACAAAAACAATAATTGCAAAGATTCAAATAATTAGTAATACGAGAAACAAGAAAATCCCTTCTTTAATTATAATACCAAGACTATAACCTAAAATCTTTGTATGAATTGAATGTATGGTCAATAAATAAGTGTTGGTGAACCATCAAAGCTTCCTCTCCATAAAGATGAACGAAAAGAGGCTCACATGTTTCATCTTATTATATAAACCGCATCAAACCTACTCATTTTTTTGCTCTGATATCTAAATTTAAAGAACCCTAAACACAATCTTTCACCATAATGAGTTTTCAAATATTTTGGCTATTTCGCCTAACTCTCATCGTAACATTCATCTCCCATGGCTCGTGTTTTCCAGACCAAGGTACAAAAATTTATTTGTTTCTTTACGTATCACCCAGTACGTGACGATACATATTTGGAATTATAGTATTAATTTAGTGATTTTTTTTTTGTGTTTTCGTGAAGCTGGATATTATAGTTTTATGAAAGATGCAACATTCGCACCAATGTTTGCTCGGTTCGATTACATAATCATCGGAGGAGGAACCTCAGGCTGCTCCTTAGCCGCAACGCTATCTCAAAACGCTACCGTTTTGCTTCTTGAACGCGGCGGCTCGCCTTACGATAACCCGGCGGCGACAGATATCGGAAACTTCGCGACCACTCTCTCAAACACATCACCAAAATCGTGGTCGCAGCTTTTTGTCTCCGAGGACGGCGTTTACAACACACGTGCGCGCGTCCTCGGCGGCGGCTCGGTGCTAAACGCGGGTTTCTACACACGTGCGGGAGAAGAGTACGTGAAGGAAGCTGAGTGGAATAGTGACGAAGTTGAAGCTGCTTACGAGTGGGTAGAGAAGAAAGTAGCGTTTCAACCGCCGGTGATGGGATGGCAAACGGCGTTGAAAGATGGGCTTTTGGAGGCTGGAGAGTTTCCTTACAACGGCTTCACTTACGATCATATATATGGGACCAAGATCGGCGGTACGATCTTTGACCGTGCCGGTCATAGACACACGGCGGCGAATCTGTTGGAGTATGCTAATCCGGACACTATTTCTGTCTATTTGCATGCTTCTGTTCACAAGATCCTCTTCACAACAAAAGGTATTGTACACTTGTTTTGTTTTTATATTCTTTGGAATAACGTGAAGCAATTTGGTTTATGGTTTAGTTTTGGTTCGATTGGTTTTATAGGGTTTTATTATAAATACTAAACCAAACATAAAACAATTATAATTCAGTTTGAATGATCGGTTATAAAAGAAACATAGCACGGCTTAACAAAACTAAAGAAAATAGCATCCCTCCGTTTCAAAATACATGATGTTTAAGGTTTTTGCACAGTTAAATTAACAGGATGGTTTGGATTATGTCTGGTTTGGTTTATATATCCACATCTACTTAAGATATAGAACCTATGTTTTGGACAGGAAGACCTAGGCCAAAAGCATACGGAGTGATATTTCAAGACGCAAATGGAGTGTTACACAAGGCAGAGCTGGCGAAAAACGCAATGAACGAAGTGATTTTGTCCGCAGGCGCCATCGGGAGCCCGCAGCTGCTGATGCTGAGCGGCGTGGGTCCTATGGCTCATCTCGCGACTCACGGGATCAGTCCGGTGGTCTTAGATCATCCAATGGTTGGGCAAGGGATGGGAGATAATCCTATGAATGCTATCTTTATTCCTTCTCCAACCCCTGTGGAGGTTTCTCTAATACAAGTCGTTGGGATCACAAAGTTTGAAAGTTACATCGAAGGAGCAAGCGGCGTAATCTTCTCTTATAGTTGGACTCGTAATTTTTTTGATGGTGTTTTGAATTATCTCAACGAGGTATTAAACGTTACTATGACTTTATTATTTATTTATTGAAACTATATGTTAATATTTTTTTTTTGGTTTTTTTCGTTGTTTAAGATGCAGACAAGCCGTACTACTACATCTACAACACCAACACTCTCGACTCAATCAATCACAGATTTTTTCAAGTCCATTGATCCATTACTGAATGCGACCACAAAAGCCGGTTTGATCCTCCAGAAAGTCGCGGGACCGGTCTCAAGAGGTCACTTGGAGCTTAGGAACACAAACCCTAATGATAACCCTTCAGTGAGATTCAACTACTATCAAGAGCCAGAGGATCTAGAGAAATGTGTTGAAGGGATTAGCACCATTATTAAAGTGATTAACTCAAAGGCATTTTCCAAATTCAAGTACCCGGACGCGACCATACATGGCCTGCTCGATCTTATACTTAGCGTTCCCACCAATCTAAGGCCAAGGCATGTAGCCTCGGTGTTTAACTTAAAGCAGTTTTGCATTGACACTGTGATGACTATTTGGCATTACCATGGAGGTTGCCAAGTTGGAAGAGTAGTTGACAAGAATTACAGAGTTTTAGGTATTAATTCTTTGAGGGTTATTGATGGATCAACATTTCTTAAGTCCCCGGGGACTAATCCGCAAGCTACGGTCATGATGCTGGGAAGGTAAATGCATGCATAAACAAATTGAGTACAAAAAAATTATCAAAAACATGTTGAACATTTGATTAGGAAATGACTGTTTCCGAGTTTTATTTGTAGGTATATGGGCCAGAAGATTCTTCGAGAGAGGGCGACTTTCCGAAAAAAGGATGAAGAAGCATGATATTTTTACTTTGATATATATATATGCTAAAATTAAACAAATCTTGAACTTGGAATTGTTTGAATTAATGTATGATGAACTAAGATAGTCTGAATGTGTACATCGGTCCATGTTCTGTTTCTTTTATGTATAATAATGGTGGAATCTTTGAAATTCAGATGAATTTTGTCTATCCTTATGATTAATCGGAGTCTATACGTTAATGGATTAATTATGTATTTACTATATATTTTATACTTGTATTATATGTTTTTTAAAATTTTTTTGTGCTTTATTTGAAATTTACTTCAATGAAATGTTTGAAAATAAAATATTGAATTAACACGAAAATTTTATATAGAAACGTAATTTGAAACTTGATACAGTGTACAAACAAACTAATCAAAGAGGAAAACCCAAAATGAAACCGATTAAAGTATTTAATTGATGGTTCCTCTTGAGCCGAAGAAAGGCACCATCATTAGTTCATTACCTAACAATATAACTTCACATGATATTAATGAACAAGATGATTACTAATATCTTAGTTAGAAAGATAACTAATATTCGACAACATCAACTAGACAATAATCACTCTTTTATTTGGATGACGAAGACCACATGTTGGTCCCATCTTTAATGATCGAATCATCTTGATTCTTTTCACCGGAAGCATTTCTCTCGCGAAGAATCTTCTGCCCCATGTACCTACACATAACACTCGCACAATCATGTCTTATAATTAAGTCTATAACATGTATGTATATATTAATAGTCTGGTTTCTGCGTTTCACCTTCCGAGCATCATGACCGTGGCTTGGGGATTAGTTCCCGGAGACTTGAGAAACGTGGATCCATCGATGACTCTTAAGGCATCAATGCCAAAGACTTTGTAATTATTGTCGACCACTCTTCCAATTTGGCAACCTCCATGGTAATGCCAAATAGTCACCACTGTGTCGATGCAAAACTGCGTCAAGTTAAACATTGCGGTCTTGTGCCTAGGCCTCAGATTGATGGGAAGGCTCAGCATGAGATTGAGCAGCTCGCGTCCGGTCGCATTTGGGTACTTGTACTTGGAGAATGCATTTGAGTTTATCACTTTGATAACGGTTTTAAGTCCTTTAACACATACCTTCAGATCTTCTGGCTCTTTGTAGTAGTTGAATGTCACAGAAGGGTTATCATCTGGATTCATGTTCCGGAGTTCTAAGTGACCTCTCGAGACTGGACCATCCACTTTATTCATGATCACACCATGATTTTCCATAACGTTCAATCGAAGATCAATGGATTTGAAAAAGTTTGTGATTGATTGGGTGGAGAGGCTTGACTGCACAATGCGTCACAAGTAAAAAACATATAGTCTCATGATCTTAGATAATAACCTTAAAAAAAAAAACCTTCAATGTAACTTATATTGTACCTCGTGGAGAAGGTTCAAAGTACCATCAAAGAACCTACGGGTCAAGTTATAAGAGAGACTCAAGCCACTAAAACCTTCAATGAAACTATGAAACTTGGTGATCCCAACGACCTCTACAAGGGACAGATCTACAAGTTGAGGAGAAGGAACCACAACGCTGTTCATCGGATTATCGCCCATCCCTTGTCCAACCATGGGATGATCTAGCACCACGGGATGAATCCCGTGGGCCTCAAGATGAGCCTTAGGACCCACACCACTCAGCATCAACAGCTGAGGGCTCCCAAGGGCACCGGCACACAAAATCACTTCATTCATTGTGTTTCTCGCCAGCTCTGCCTTGTGAAACACTCCATCCGTGTCTTGATAGACCACTCCGTACGCCTTAGGTATTTGGTCTCCTGTCCAAAACATGAGTTTTCATCTCCAAGGACCAAAGTATATATATATAAGTTATGAACAAAAAAAAAAGTGCAGATCAATGAAATACCTTTAGTGAAGAGGATTTTGTGAACAAGAGCATGCATGTAAACAACAAGCTTCTCTGGATTAGCATACTCCAACAAATCTGCCGCCGAGTGTCTATGACCAGCAGGGTCAAAGATTGTACCACCGATCTTTGTCCCAACGATATGATCCAACGTGAAACCGTTGTAAGGTAACACACCAGCCTCCAAAAGCCCATCTCTCAACGCCGATTGCCATCCCATTACTTGTGGCTCGAACACAAGTTTCCTCTCGACCCACTCGTAAGCAGCTTCCACTTCCTCCTTTTCCCACTCAGCTTCCTCCACGTAAGAATTTTCCGCACGTGAGTAAAATCCAGCGTTGAGCACCGAGTCGCCCCCGAGGACGCGCGCACGTGTGTTGTAAACGCCGTCCTCGGAGATGAAAGTCTGCGACCATGAGTTTGGTGTGACGTTTAAGAGTGTGTTGGCGAAGTTTTCCATGTCCGTGGCCGTTGGATTGTCGTAGGGAGAGCCGCCGCGTTCCAGAACCAGAACGTTTGCGTTTTGAGAGAGCGTTGCGGCTAATGAACAACCTGAGGTTCCTCCTCCGATGACTATGTAATCGAAGCGAGCATAAGTTGGTGCTGAAGTTGCATCCTTCATGTATCCGTGCAACCCTGTTTATACGTATAAAAAAGTTCATAAGATTTTGAAATTCGTAGTAACAATAATCTAACAGTTCAAATGTTATTGATCTTGTCATTAGACATGGATATGGTTATGGTCCTTGTCTCCTTGAGGTTAAGACTGTACCTTTATGGGAATAACAGGAGCCATATGATATGAAAATTGTGACAAGAATAAAAGGGAAAATATGAAAATCCATTACAGCGTACAAATATATTTGTTTTTTTTTTTATTAAATCTTGTGGAGAAAAAGATAAAGACTTGCTTTTCTTTTTGGTTAAAGAAAAGATCAAGACTTAAACGTTTAATGCGCTTTATATACTAAGATGAAGTATGACCCTCTTGTTTAGATTTGGTTAGTTCCCCAGTTTATGGGTTTTTTCGTATAACCAAACGATTTTTTGCACTGAATTATGCACTAAACTCCGGAAACTAATAAAAAGCACTTCACATCAGAATTTCACATCAGAACTTCACATCTTGAACAACACAAAACCGACGCAAACGTTAAGTGCTCTTCTTCCTTTCGTGACTTATATTATGTTTTCGTGTTTATATTAGTTTTTTTTTTGTCCGCTTTGTTTTCTTTTCAATTGGGATTCTGTTTTCGTTTCAGTTTAGCTAATCTTGTTCGGATTTGTGGCCTAAAGCTATAAATAGCACATAAGAAGTGTGAATACAAGTACATCTATAATTTAGGTGGAAATTTTAGTGAATCTAAGAAAACGTAAAATATATGGATCAAGTATGGCTATACGGCTTTTACCAATAAAAGTATGGGTGTGTGGGTACTGAGGAACCTGAAGAGGTTCAACCACCTGATGACTCTTTGGCTGCGATAACACAAGAGCAATTGAGCACTGAATCTTTCCTAACTCAAATTGCTTCCTTGTTTTTTATCCTGTTTTGCCAAGGGACCAATTATAAATAGGCTTTTACTTTGTAACACCTAAACTTTAATTCATTTTAATGATATTTACATTCATAGCAAAAAAAAAAAGTATGGATCACATACGAACATCTTGAATTTTCTAGAATATCGTATGTATCTCTATTAAAAATTATATAAAAATGTTGACGTTAAATTTTTATTTAATCAGATTTACATCTTATGAAAAAACATATGATAGCGAGAATTATAAGGACACTTTAAAAAGTAGGTTTAGCAAAAAGGACACTTTAAAATAGTCAGTGATTATTGTTGACAAAAAGGGTTAGTAAATATTTAAACTAATGCTCCTTCCGTTTCAAAATATAAGTCATTTTAAGATCATTTCAAAATATAAATATTCTTGAATTTCAATACAAATAATTTAAAAAATCTATTTTTATTCCTATTCCTTTAGCTAATTAATTAGTGTAACAAAATAAATAGTAGATTAATAAGAGGTAAAATTAAAAATTAAATAGTTTTTTTTATATGTGTGAAAAACCTGACTTATATTTTGAAACATATGGAGTCTAAATCTTTAAATGTTCCTTTTAAAACAGATGAGAGGCACCAACTTTACCTAACAATGTAGCTTCAGATCATATTTAACAAAAAAAAGTAACTAAGAAATATCTGAGTTAAGAAGACAATTAATAAACCAACATCAATAGAGGAATTTGTTCCATAGAAAAAAAGAAATGGGTAAGAACTTAAAAGTCATTATATTATTGATTACAATACCTTTCTTTGTACGATGCGAAACAATAATCCAATGAAAAAATTGTTTTAGCACATGATCTCGTTTTAAAAATACTTTTTCCTAGTTTCGGCGAAAAGCAGCCCTCTCTCGAAGAATTTTTAGCCCCACGTACCTACAGATAGCACACAAACAATCATATTAACCATGTTTATCGCAGGTAGTACTTAATATTATTTGGATTTAAAATAAATAAAAATTGGACAAAAATATAAGCATCCAAAAACAAACTTTTTCTCTCTTCTTTCTTACTTCACTCATTCGATTATCTCTCCTCTGATTCATCTCTCCTCTGATTCATCTCTCTTATTTTTTTCTCTTCTCTTCTTTTATTAATTAAATATTAATTAAGTACCCATCAGAAATTTTTGCGATAAACATGGTCTAATACACCTTAAACATGTTGTAGATTAATTGATCATTTGGTTTTTGCACTTACCTTCCGAGCATCATAACTGTGGCTTGAGGATTAGTCCCTGGGGACTTGAGAAACGTGGATCCATCTATAACCCTTAAAGCATCAATGCCTAAAACTTTGTAATTCTTGTCGACCACTCTTCCAACTTGACAACCTCCATGGTAATGATACATAGTCATCACAGTGTCGATACAAAACTGCTTCAAGTTGAACGTTGAGGTCACATGCCTCGGCCTCAGATTAGTGGGAAGGGTCAGCATATGATTGAGCAGCTCACGTCCAGTCACACCTGGGTATTTGTACTTGGAGAAGGCCTTCGAGTCTATCACTTTAATAATGGTGTTAAGCCCTTCAACACACTTGTTCAAGTCTTCTGGTTCTTGATAGTAATTGAATGTCACTGAAGGGTTATCGTCTGGATTCGTGTTCTGGAGCTCCATGTAACCTCTAGAGGCCGGTCCCGTGACTTTTTGGACCATACCATTCGCATTTATCGCCACTTTAAATCCAAGATCCAAGGATTTTAAAAGTTTGGCAATGGATTGAGTCAGGATTTTCCTAGATGTAGTACGGCTTGTCTGCATAATAATGCGTTATAGTTAAATATTAATAACATATAGTATAGTACGTTATAATAACCTTTAAATGTATTGATGTTATTATACCTCGTTGAAAAGATCCAAAACACCGTCGAAGAACCTACGGGTCAAATCATAAGAGATACTCACGTTACTTCCACCTTCAATGTAACTATCAAACTTTGTGATCCCAACAACTTGTACGAGGGACATTTCTACGGGCATAGGAGAAGGAACAAAGACGAGATTCATGGGATTATCACCCATTCCTTGCCCAACCATTGGGTGATCTAAGACCATATGTTTAACCCCGTGAGCCGCAAGATGAGCCTTAGGACCCACGCCGCTCAGCATCAACAGATGCGGGCTGCCCATGGCTCCAGCGGACAAGATTACTTCGTTCAATTTCATTGTGTGGCTTGCTAGTTCTACCTTGTGGAACACTCCATTCGCATCTTGAAATATCACTTCGTTTGCCTTTGGTCGCTGGCTACCTGTTTTTTTTTTTGTTATGTCATATTATTATGTATAACCTTTTAGTCTTTATTTTATTTCAAGAAAATGAAACAAATAATATCTTATTTAAACTAAATCATACAGTACGTATATCAAATTGTATGTTTAAAATAGTAATTACTGATTTTTCATATTTTTACTTTTGGAAAACATTAATTGGTGAAAAACAACTTCAAATAAAACAAGCTAAACCGAATAAAAACTTTAAAGATAGCAAAATGTTGATTAGTTATATACTGTACATAGTTATATAAAGTCAAAGAAGGGTTGTCGACCGATCTTGGAAACTCACGAACCCAATCATTTGAATGTTTTGTATTTTAAAAACAAACTAGATTCTAACCCGTGCATCCACACAGAAATTTTTTGTTTTTTTCCTAATATAATTTGTATTTATGCTTTTGTTTAGATATAAGTTGTTTTTATTATTTATTTATTTTCTTACATCAAGAATATTTATTTTTCAATTTTTCAAATATGAAAAAATAATAAAAATGAGATGTGTTAAGTATTTCATCATCCTGGTGTCGAGCTATTTTTTTGCAGGACATTTTGTTATCATGTTTTAACTTTAAATAGTATAAATTTTTATATTAGTAGAATTAGAATATGAGTTAATTAAATATATTTAGGTTTAATATTAATTATAAACTTTGTTATTATGTAATTTTAATTATAAAATTTAATTATGTGATTTTAATTATGTGAATTTATATATAAATAATCTATATATCTATGAATTAGCTAATCTATTCGTTTAGTTGCCTTAAATCATTTTTATAAATGCATAACACTAATCTGCTTTAATTAAATCATTTTCAATGTTAGCAAATATTTTTATATTATAAATAGAGCATGTTAGGGTTATGCATTTATAATTACATTCTTATAGAAGTTAGTTTTTAAAAACATGTAAGATATTAAAAAATAATTTAAGGCAAATAAAGGGATATATTAGCCAATTCATAGATATACAGATTATTTATATGTAAATTCATATAATTAAAATCACATAATTAAATTTACATAATAACAAAGTTTATAATTTACATTAGATCCAAATATATTTAATTAACTCATATTCTAATTCTAATAATATACAAATCTGTATTATCTATTATATTAAAATAAAAGCACATTTAGTACTTGTTTCCAAACACTCCTAATTTTTTTAGGGGGAATTGCTAAAAATAGGCCACAATTTGATTCCAAATGCAAAAGTATACCCCAAATTCAACCTATTGCAAAAATAGGTCAGAGGGGTAGAGAAATTACCATTATCTCCTACATGAGTAAACAATAAAACGGATGTCTCAATTACGATTATAACCCTTCGAAGTCTGCCAATACTAATGAAGTCTGCTCAGCAGACTGATAAAGAAGTCTACTATATTATTAAATCTTATTTTTAAATTTAAAAATTATATAAAAATAATGTAAACTGAAGTTTGTTTCTATAAATCAAATGTCAACAAGTATGATCTAGAAAAATTATAATTTAATAAATATGAATCATTTTTAACCATCTAGGATAAACATAAAAAGTGAAAAGTTTTAAACTAGGGCTGCAGACTTCTTTATCAGTCTGCTCAGCAGACTACGGATCGAAGTCTAGTCAAACCAGAATAATTAACCTAACCGGAATTTTTAACATAGTATATAAAGAAACTTACCAGTCGTTACCATAAATAAAAAAACCTAGATCACTGTAAAACGGCGCTGCACTCTGGTCTCTCTCGCCGCGACTCTCTCTCGCAGTAAGCCTTTCCCGGCGCTCCCCATCTCTTCTTTTCTGTTTCTGATGCATATGTTGTTTCATATATATCACTACATATATTGTTGCTGCAGATCTCAGCCGGCGTCTTCATCGTTCTTAGTTATCTCTCCAGATCTGTGAGTTATTCGCCATTACATTCTCTGTTTAGTCCGTATCTTATTGTTTACTGGTTTGTCCTTTAAAATTGTTCTTTTGTTCTTTTGTCCTTTTGCTTTACTGTTTTTTAACAGATCTAAGTAAAAATACTTTTTCCACAGATTCCGTGAGCAAGTAAGTAAAAATATTTCAATTTTTTCTTTATTTCAAGATTTACCTTTTTTGTTATTTTGTTGTTTAGCGAGTAAGAAATATTTTTTTGGAAAGCTTGTTTTTGTTGTTTTGTTATTAGCTGCAAAGTTATTATGTGGTCGTATCTGTTTTAGTTTTTTGTTTGTTAACTTCCAAGTTTGTTTGCTTGATCTCTACAGAGTAATGCCGATAAGCTACACCAACAGCTCATCTTCCAAAGCAAGCTATGACAGCGGGTGTGCCAAAGCTGATGGAGACTTTGGGATACCTCAACAATGCTATTGCGGCCTTCGATGTAGATTGGAAGAGTCTACAGCTCCAGAGACGTTTGGCAGGAAGTTCTATAGTTGCCCTGATATATTAGGCGAATGTGTATAGTTTTAATGAGGTTTTTCTCAATATGTGTATAGTTTTAAAATGTTATTCATCGAGTATAACTGAAGTTTTCGTTTGTCATATGTGTAGGATAAACCGGGTCACATCTCCAAATGGTGGGATCTAGCCATTGAAGAGCAGCTGACCATTCTTCAAATACGAATTGACAAGCAGAGCGAAAGCATGTTCCATGACAACTGAACAGCCCTTCCGCAATCATATGAGAATCGGCTGTATGCATTGGAGGATCGCCTTGCTGCAACCGAGAAGACCATTAGCGAGATCGAGGAGTTCATAGGGTTCATTCAGAGTGAAATTTTTGGAGTGAAAGAAGCACTTGCTAATCGAGGTTCTGATATCCTACTTTGTGTTTTTTTAGTTATTTTTGCAGTAATCTCTTGTGTTTTAATGCGTTGGGATGTAGAATACTAAACCAAGAGACTTGTGTAACCTTTAAGTAGACTAGTTTGGATAAAACATATGTATTTGACTTCTATGGTGATTAATGTTAGTGTTTACTGTTGCATATACATTGTTCGTATACTGGAGAATCTATGTGCACTTTGTGTATTGTGTACATATGCAGGCCGTGAGTTAAAGGTCTCTACATACAATCTCTAAAACTACTTTTCATATGATATTAATAAAAAACACATGCAGACTTCGTAGACAGACTTCTTAAACAGACTTAATATGCAGACTTCGTAGACAGACTTTTTAACCAGACTTAATATGCAGACTTCTTAAGCAGACTTAATATGCAGACTTAATACGTCGAATAAACTAAACCAGACAGTTTTAAAATTATATTGCAAACCAGCTATAATTGGCTAAACCAATTGCGTTTTAAATAACGAAATCAATAAACCACATTGAACTGGTACGACGGTTATTTAACTGGTACGACGGTTATTGAAATGGTACGACGGTTATTGAACCGGTACGACGGTTAAATAGGTTTCTACGGTCATATATAAGACTTTCTACGAACACTGTACTAACACAAATCGGTAAAAAAAAAAAAATACTGTCGTTTGGGTTTAGTTCTCGGAACTTGTCGCCGGTTTTTACTGTACATCCGTTTACCGTTTAAGGTAAGTCGAATTTAATGCCGACTTCTCTTTTGGATAGAAGTCGTCTGTGTAATTCACAAACCCTAATCTCCTTCGCTTTCTATTCTAGATCTGGTGTCGCCGCCGTCCGTAACTGTTTATTCCGCCGTCTGTTCATTTCTGCCGTTGGTCGTGGAAAGGTATTTGGCTGTACTAATTTCTTATAATTTTTAAATTAATATCTTTACGGGTTCCAAGTTCCTAGTCGTTTGGGTTTCTACATCGGTTTTTATAAAAATCGGACAACACCGAGTAGATATTTCCAAAGTCGGACAAAAATCGAATACCCGTTTCCAAGTTTCTAGTTGCTGTGAATTAGAGATATCTGTACTTTTTTTTATTTATTAAACGGACTTGTATAGTGTTTAGGCGAACTATTTTGGAAGTATCATCTCGTAAAACGGAGTTCAAAACGGGTTGTGTTTTTTCAAAGAACTTTGTCGGCGGCTAGATTTTTGAAACTTTTTTAATTAGACTATTAGGTCTACAGACTTCAATTGCAGACTTAGTTGGCTGACTTCGTGTGCAGACTTCTTCGGAAGTCTTCATAAGTAGACTTCTTGAATATTGGACTTCGTTTTGCAGACGTCAGAACAGCCAATGGAAAACCCAGAGTTCCCCCCGCGTCTCTTCTCGAAAGGCGATGAGCCGTCTCCGCTGAAAAGCATCGGTTACTATAGCAGTGAGACGAAGCTGATGACTGCACTCGAGGAAGCACTCACACAAGATGAGTGGGAAGAGATATTGAACTCTAGACTGGGAGTGTTCTTGAAGTTCAGTCAGTTGGATTTTGGCTGGGCATCTAGACTGGTGCATTACATTCTCGGCATGCAGCTAGTTTGCAAGAAAAAATTTGAGATTTGGAGCCTCGTAGGCCTAATCCCGATCCGCTTTTCTTTGAATGAGTTCGAACATATTACTGGCTTGAATTGCGAGTACGTGGACAACCTCGAGGATTCGGTGGTTGAGATAACTGATGAGATGAAAGATTTCTGGGAGCGATTGGGAGTCAATCAGGAGTTGGGTCCGAGCACTGAAGATTTGATAGAAGCTTGTAAGGAATGCGGGTCGTGGTCTTCCGAGGATCGGTTGAGGCTGGGATACCTTAGCATTTATACTAGTTACATTGAAGCACGAAAGCCATCTTCAGCTACTCGGGCTAGGTTGGCAAGGCTTGTGATGGATTTAGAAGCGTTTGAGAACTACCCTTGGGGAAGAGTGGCCTTCAAAAACCTGATGCGGTCGGTGAAGGAGAAAGAAATTTGAATAATTGTTTTCATTGAATATGCAGCACATGGAAGCTGGGATTAACCTACTCAGGCTGCGATTTACAAAGCATCCTGAGTGGTTTAGGTCGGACAGGATAACATTCCTCGACTCTTACTTTGCAACGATGTGGAGGTACAAGTACAAGGAGTTTGTGGAC